CCGACATCATCATCAAGCTTGTCAGGGACCCTAACTTCGCGTAGATGGGAATTTGCGGGTTTAGAGGACGTTGATACTACAAGGTCGTTGTAGTATAGTCTTGGCTGCAAAGTATGCGTATGGATGGCCCTCTCTGTTGCTGAATGTTATGGTAAGCTTTTAGTATTAATATTTACTCCCCGCTTCCCTATGTCGCATCGTCCATCGTCCATCTTTTCTCCATGCTTTGTGCTCCCTGTGTCTATCCTCAGTCATTGTCGCGTTTTCGCTTCTGGCCCTTCGGCCTGGCGTTATCAAATGGAGTCTCTGCTCGATTGAGGCGGTCGTAATGGTTCTTCATCTCACGCTTCCAATGTTCCTCGGTGTCAGTTCTCACAGAGTGGGGGGCACCAGGACACACCATCAACTTGGTGTCCGGGTTCGGCGGCTCATCCTCCCCCACCTTGCGTGCCTCGAGAATGTCTTGTCAGAGGCTCATGAGCCACGGATGCACTGTCGTAATGTAGTCGTGTATTGTAACATAAGGCTTATCCGATGCCTCGACGACCAGTGTATCGTACTCGCGCGGGGGGAGCTCGCTATAAGCTGGGCAAGGCCCGTTGCTCGAGTTTTCGTCTCCCGAGTTCTCGTCGTCGTCGTCGGCGTCGGCGTGTTCCATGTGACACAGCCACCAACCCGACGGCCAGTTGCTTAGATCGGCGGACTCGACAGTGACAGACGCCACTGTGCTTTCAATGAGCACTTCCTGCGATATGCGATGCCAGTTTGAGCCGGTGGAGGACTGTTGGAAGTACGGTTCGCGTGGTGCTTCGGGGTCCAAATTCTCGGGCATGACGGAGATGGCCGACTCTAGAGGGTCCTGGAGGGACCAGACGAGTCGCATTCCGTGGAAGGAGATGGGGCCCCATTGGGCCGTCGAAGGTGGCGCAGGTTGGTCTGATGTTGACATGATTTGTGGCCGCTGGGTGTTGTCGAGAAAGGGCTGTTGTTGAGGTTGATAGTTGATAGAGAGTTAAAAAGAAATGAGGAGGGGAAGTGAAAACTGTGGTGGGCTGAGCCATGGATAAAATGTGTGATNATCTCACGCTTCCAATGTTCCTCGGTGTCAGTTCTCACAGAGTGGGGGGCACCAGGACACACCATCAACTTGGTGTCCGGGTTCGGCGGCTCATCCTCCCCCACCTTGCGTGCCTCGAGAATGTCTTGTCAGAGGCTCATGAGCCACGGATGCACTGTCGTAATGTAGTCGTGTATTGTAACATAAGGCTTATCCGATGCCTCGACGACCAGTGTATCGTACTCGCGCGGGGGGAGCTCGCTATAAGCTGGGCAAGGCCCGTTGCTCGAGTTTTCGTCTCCCGAGTTCTCGTCGTCGTCGTCGGCGTCGGCGTGTTCCATGTGACACAGCCACCAACCCGACGGCCAGTTGCTTAGATCGGCGGACTCGACAGTGACAGACGCCACTGTGCTTTCAATGAGCACTTCCTGCGATATGCGATGCCAGTTTGAGCCGGTGGAGGACTGTTGGAAGTACGGTTCGCGTGGTGCTTCGGGGTCCAAATTCTCGGGCATGACGGAGATGGCCGACTCTAGAGGGTCCTGGAGGGACCAGACGAGTCGCATTCCGTGGAAGGAGATGGGGCCCCATTGGGCCGTCGAAGGTGGCGCAGGTTGGTCTGATGTTGACATGATTTGTGGCCGCTGGGTGTTGTCGAGAAAGGGCTGTTGTTGAGGTTGATAGTTGATAGAGAGTTAAAAAGAAATGAGGAGGGGAAGTGAAAACTGTGGTGGGCTGAGCCATGGATAAAATGTGTGATGGGATCTGGTGGCGGTGGCTCCTAGTAATATAAAGTATAAGAGGATATTATTTATATTAATTTTATAAAGTAGTATCTATTATTACTATTTTACTTTATTTTTTTTTATTTTTTTTTATTTTTATATTTATTTATTTTTATTTATTTTTATTTATTTATTTATTTTTTTATTTATTTATTTTCTTTTTTTTTTTTAAAATTATTATTATTTTTTTATTATTTTTTTATAGTTTATTTAATAAAAAGCTAATTTTTATAAACTTCTTTTTCTTAATATTAGGAGACTTATTTATTTATACTTTTTTTTTTTTTTTAATTTAGAGACAAAAGCCCCTTTTGACTACTATAGTGTGACGGAGCAGTGCAGCCTGCCCGCACACCGTAAGAACGAAACAAGAAAAGAAACAGTTGGTCAAATGGTCAAGAATAGTTCCCGCAAGAAGTGCTACAGTTCTGCTTGCAGGAATGGAAATGGAACGTCGGAATGGTTAATCAATAGGAATAGGGCCGTTTCACAACCAAAGGAGGCTTCCAAATAGGGGGAAGCCAGAGATCATGAAAGTGTCAAATAGGGGACACTTAGACACACCAAACAATAGAAGAACTGTCCGGAGTCACCACACAAGATGATCCATGAGAAATGATAATAATGAAGTCAATTGAAAGAAGAACTAAAGTCTGTCATCTCTAAAGAACTTAAGAAACTTGTTGAGGAACTTGTCCCCTCTCAAGAGGGAGGAAAAGAAAAGAAAAGAAATAACCATGGTCATGGCCCATGGTAAGGAACAATATTCTTCCGCCCCCATTCTCGCGGAATCTTGAGAACGTCACCCTTTTCGCCGTTGTCACCTTTTTCCCCGTCACACTATTATCGTCGGGCAGCCGCAAGCAGCCGTCCTTCTATTATTTTTCTACTATGTCTTACTGCTTTGGGCCTATAATAAAAGTCGGCCTATAATAAAAGACAAACTAGATATATAGTAGAACCCGTAGTTTATATAGACGTTTCCTTTCTAAGTTCTCTAGGGTGATCGCTGAGCTTCCTCTGCGATCACCTTCCCTGATCGTTGTGATCGTAGGTGCGATCGTGACGATCACTACGCAACCTTTTCGACGATCGCTTTCCTGTCGTCTGTCGGGCGGCTGCAAGCAGCCGTCCTGCCATTGTTTTTCTACCGTGTCTCACCGCTCTGGGCCCGCATAAAGGTCGGCCCATGACAATTATAAAATGAGAATATGGCCACCAGCGTTCCGGCAAAAAGCGAGGCAACATGCGATACATGCATCCCGTCTAAAGACAACCGGAGAATCAGACTCTGACCCTCGAAGGGAAAAGAACCGAAGATCATCTGCTCTGTCCACTGCGACGACGTCAACAAAGGATGTAGAATTGCAGGCCGCCGAATGGTCACCAAAGGGTGAGCTGTAAGCGCAAAACGTATCCGGAGGTGCGAGTTGCGCGCGGCTGTCGTGTGGGCATCCTTCCAACATGAACGCCTGATCTAGGAATTCGAGTAGAATAGTCGGATTCTCCCCTCCAGAAATAATGCCTTCATTTGAGCGAACAGTTAACTCTGAACGGAGCTCGGTGTCACTCTGAATATGTATCTTCCAGGAAACCTTGTACTTTGAGAAAAGATTCAAAGGCACGGAAACAATTGGATAAATCGGTGGGCTGTGATCTGTGTGGCTGTGTTGTCCGGTACTGCCCTGGTCCTCGGGGAATAGATGCGCCGTTACGGTGTTGTAGGTGTCGCCCTGATAATTGAGGGTACCTGGCAATGCTGTAAGGCAGAGGTATCCGTTTTTCTCAATGCGATAAGACTCGAATATCGTTGGAAAGACAGCTTGACCTTTATCAACTATTATAACGTAGTCTATATCCTCGTCCTCGAAGACATGACCAACCATGAATCTAGCCCATGAGAGGATTGTATAAGCGTTGCCATTTTCCGTAGCGCCAGTCTCCAGGATCTCTTGAATTCCCTGAGAGAGGTCATTAGATAGAGTATTGCGATGGGTCGAAAGCTTTATAAGCGGGGGCTGCGCCGAGTCGAAGAGCGATAACGCGAAGATATCCATCATAATATGGGCAATAGCTTAGTATAGCGAATGAGCAGAGCACCGAGTGTAAGAAGTATCAGTGTTGCTGTAAAGAGTAGGTCGTGCCACAGAGTGAAGGGGAGCAGTAGAACTAGCGAAGGCCAAGTGTAGGTTGGTATGAAAGAGTCACTAATCGCTAATTCCTCCTCTCTTCCTTTTCCTCTAGAATCCTCCCTCTTATATCCTCCCTAGCTCCTCAGATGACCTTCCCCTGATCTCTCCCTTTGCACTGAAAGTTTCCCTCTTAGTTTACCTAGTCTAACCCTATCTTAGCCTTGTCTTACACCTTAGGTTCAGTGCACCTGTAGCTCTATAGGCATGCTCTAGTTAGCCTATTTTCCACGTCATACTCTTCCAATTTAGATGACGACTGTTTTCCATGCTGGTTCCGTCATTCTGGGGTGATTCCAGTGCTCCCTTCGGCCTGCTGCAGCCCTGTGGACACTCCGTGCCGTGACAGTTGCCCAGGGGAGGCGGATGGCACTTAGAGCATGTACATCTCTCTTTCAGAGTCTTGACATAACCACCAACTAGAGGGAGGTTGGTAATCAGCATACCCCCTTCCAGAAACGCCAGATGCGGCTGGCCACGTGTGCCAAGCATTTGGCTGTAGACATCCATGATCCTGCCGATACCTGGCAATGGCCTGATTCGGCGGGGACCCAGAACATTATTAGCAGAGCTGTACTGTTGCTGAAGCCATGAGGGCTGACCTAATGAGCTGAGGTCGGCCAGTTCTAGCTGGAATAGGACTTGGGGAATTGCGTAAGTAAGGGCTTCGTGGAGCATACGGCGATTGTCACCATCGAGGCCTTGGTTCCGGAGAAGCCATTCACCATAGTACTCAACGGAAGCCATTCCACTCCAAAGTCTTGTCGATGGCGGTCCAGGGGGCTGAGTAGGATTTCCAATGCTATGGTGGATTTGAATCTCCATCCCTCTCTTTAAGCCCTCTCTGGAGATGGGCACTAATGTGGTAACTTGGGAGTGAGTCTCTTGGTGAAGTATTTGCCCATCGTCAGTGTGTATTGATGGAGGCGCACCAAGAGTCCACGTAATAAAGGCGATAATCCAGGCGGCAGCAGAGCCTACCTTTATCGTTGCCCCAATTACACTGGATTCGCCCATCCGCGCCAGTTGACGAAAAGTGTCGACTAGACTGCATAACATTTCAGGTGATGGAGCCGAATCCAGAAAGGCCTCTGCCTGTGTATATTGCTCACGTTGTGCTCTAAGGGCGTGTGGGAGTGCTTTATCGCGTAGTAGGCCCTGCGAATCAACAATCAGGTCTGCAAAGCCGCATTTGTAGCACCTCGCGTCTAGGCTTGCCAACAAGTGCTTCAACTCCCGTATAGTAGGGATTGTAGTTGGGTCGAATGCCGAACTCCGCATCATACTAAGAACGGCTTTTGCAGACTCGAGGGTGTCAAGTGTTGTGACGAGGGGAACTGCAAGTCCCAGAAATCGAACTTCATGAGGGGAATAGCCCACTATTCCCTTCAAGAACTTTATAACCGCAGGCTCAGGAGTTGGAATAACACATTCCTCAATCTTTTTATAAGCTAAGGGGCTAATGGGCAGCGTGGCTCCGAATCGCTCACACGCTAGGAGAGCGAGAGGTTGGACATTGTCACTGCTTGCAGCAAGGAAGACCCCCCTCGCTACGAGTAAATTGCATCAGAGGTTGAATCAAGGCTCCACTGAGCCTGTACGGGTAAGCCCGACATACTCCATAATGTTAGCTAACTCGAGAAAGGGTTAGTTTATAGGTGAAATGACCTACTCTTATGCCGATCCGTGGTTTCTCGAGATCCGCCCCGAAGGGTGGATCAGAGGAATAATTTTGACGAGTAAAAAGGGGTCCAGCTCCAGTATTGATTAGCGGTAATAGACGAAGGACGGTAAAATATTTTTGACACAGTTGGTGAAGCGCGTAACTCAGTATTCGAATAGCCAAGAGCTTAAAGCAAAAGGAGGCCATCTAAGAACTGTACGTGATCGCGGTCCATGGTCACGAAAACAGCTTCGACGATCAACCGGATCTCTCTCCTCGGCCTTGTGCTCGGGCACCAGAAGCGGGGTAATCTAACGTGGCTAGTCCTTGCCAACGGAATTAAAGAAGAAACCGTTTTGTAGTTGAATGGAGGGTGGCAGTGGCATTATAATCCAACCCGCAAAGGGTCTGGCAAATTTCTAATCTAGTGTCCGAAAAGAGATAGGAACACCATGTAACCCCAAATAATGGATGTAAAGGCTGTGTTAACTCCCACCCTAATTGGCTGAAAGTTTAGCCGAACATCTGCCGAGCCCATTAATTTGAGGAAACGCTTTCCCCTTTGGGAACGTCTTTTCCGAATACATCATAGTTTCATTCCACAGGGTGAAATCGGGAGGGCTGACATATTCCCAGTTTGTGTCACCTCGACCTCTTGAAACAATGCTGCCCAAGCCTAAATTGAGGAGCCCTCGGCAGCCGGGCGTCTTTCATTTATTGGAGCAGATTATCAATGCCCATAATACGTGGCGTTGTTATATCTGTCTCCTTATTCGACTTTGGCCGTGGGAAGGCGTAAGATTAGGCATCTAGGGAGGAGTTTTATTGAAGAAGCTCTTGCACGTTGCTAAGAGCCCAAATACCGAGCTTAGGTCGCATCTGGCATGTCTTGTTTTTCCCCACAGCCAAAGTCGAATAAAAATCAATTGTCGGCAGAAAAACCAACTGTGCACACAATGGTTTCCGCCTACAACCAGCACCAAAGGTCAATTCCGATCGCTCCAATCGCTTCCGGCACATGATTTTATTTTTTCTCTCTTTTCTTCTTCTTTTTTGAAAAGTCGCTCCCGGTGGTGCCGAGTGTAGGGGTGTAGTTGTACTTGAATTGACTACTGGAGAGTCTTGAAAGGCAAACTAGATACATGGTAGAAGCCGTAGCTTATATAGACGTTTCCCTTCTAAGCTCTCTCCCTGGACCGATTCCTTCTGGCTCGGTCCTCCATGTAGGACCGTGGTGGACTGTCCTTCAGTCCTGTCGGTGGTTTACCTTTTTCTGCCGGGTTTCACCGCCCTGGGCCTGCATAAAGGTCGGCCACCATATATCTAGTTTGTCTTTCCAGACTCTTTAGTAGTTAATTCAAGTACAACTACTGTGATGGGGAAAAAGGTGACAGCGGTGAAGGAAGTGTAGTTCTCCTAGGGGGGAGAGCAGAAGAACATTATCCCTTACTATAGACTAGGGCATGGCTATTTCTTTTCTTTTCCTCTCATCTCGAGAGAAGAACAGGAGGATGGAGGAACTTAATTAAGCAATAATCTTTTAGTTCAATTAATTTCTTTTGCCTAGTTCTTATAAATCATCCTGTATAGTGATTCCAAGCTGTTTCGACCCTTGTTTTGTGTGCCCAAGTGTCCTATATTAGATACTTGTTTCTCGACTTTTCCCTATTCAGAGAGCTCCTTTTTACATGGTTCTTGTGTCATTCCCATTGATCAACGGGACCGACATCTGTCTATTCCCGTGTGGGGGTTTGCAGCAGGTTCTGGCAGGATTTGACTAGACCAATTGACCACGAGTTTCCTTTTTATTTCATTCTTGTAGTGAGCGGGCAGGCTGCACTGCTCCGTTTCACTACATCCCTACACCTGAATACGCACTTCTCACCTGTATCATTGTGAATACTGCTTGACTGCCTCGCTTACTTCATAATGGACAACCTACGAGCCTCTCACTAGTTGTATCCACCTGATACCGTCAACAGGCTAGTGTTAGGATGTAAGGACATACTGTGTATGGCTCGAGGAAAGACCAATGTCACTAAGAAGCGTGTTCAACCGAAAGTCAATTGATGCAATTGATGATCAAAACTTCAACTTGCCCTGAGACTGACTTGTGGACTGCGAGAACCTCTTTTTCTCCGACCGGGCTCCGCAGCTGAGTCATTCTGGCGGCAAGTCCCGTGCCCAGTGCGCTCTCGTTTGTACCTTACATAGGATCGTAACAGTAAGGACGTTCGAAAAAAGGGGGAGGTGAAAAATTGTTAGTAGGCTTATCAATTTTTAGGATTTACAGAGTTGAATCCTGTATGTATCTTTTGTATATAGAATAACTGAAAAGATACTTCTGAAATAAGATGTAGGAATTTTGCAGGGTTTAAAGCATCAGACAACCTGCATGGATCTGCAATGTGACATACGAATAGACTCTAGCGTGCAGCCATTCGACGGCCCATCCAATAGCGAAATCCGTTCCCCCGCCCCCAGCCCCCATGAAATGCGGGGAAATAAGCTCCGGTGGACCGGACTATGGGTTAGTACCGAGTGGGGAAGTGGTCAAGCTTACATATGGATAGGTCTCCCGCCTCTGATGATAAGAACCTTGAAGCCCTGTACATGTCTTGTCGAACATCTGCTGCCTAACCCCCATTTTACATCTGCATTGACGAGACAGCGTGGTCGACGTGGTATTCTTGGACGGCTCAACAGTTTTATCCTACCATTCCTTTACCATAGAATAATTCTCTGCGGGGAGTTTTCTACCTCTTACCACTTAGGTCGTGTAGCTAAGAGGCCATGCGTCGTCAGAATCGGTCTTGTGATCAATGTCGGCGGTCAAAACGGGGTTGCTCTAACGTCTTTCCTATTGGCGGTAAGTCCGGTTCCTCAGGAAGCTATCTGGGAAAAGACTTACGAACAGCTCGTGCTTTCTTTAGAGTTGGAGAATCTATCCCAGCCATGTGCTTATTGTATCAGAACGGGGAAGCAATGTACATACTCCTGGGCACATACACAGCTTCAGTCGGCACAACAAAGGCGACGCCAAAGCGGTATCGAGAATCGCAGGCCTTTAACGGTCCGCGAGAGACAAGCCAAGCGTCAGGGGAGGTCAGGCTCGATTGATCGACCGGTCGAGAGAATCGCGTCCAACATACGAATAGACACCGACTCAACAATGGCGAGCATACCCGACATGACCCAGACTCTTGTATTACAGAATCAACCTAGTTTCCACGAAGGCGCCTCTCACTCATGGCTAGGCAAGTTTCCTGAAGTTGGACTCGATCCCGACCTCTTGGCCGCCTTCACACCAAACTCTTGTTTTCCCTTAGAAGATCGTCAACCGCTCCAGTTCGAAATGCCAGAGCTTCTCCTATCCCAAATTACTGAAAAGTCTGGCGCCATTGATATGGGATCCTGCGCGTCCCCCGGGTGGGAGATAAAGCTGGCTCCAGGTCAGAGTGTTGGCTTCCCTGGCTCATCGTGGGGCTCAGAAAACACTCATATAAATCAGGATCGAGATGACGAGGAGCAGGGAGGCGTTTCGTGTATCTCTTCACGAAACCCATTTAGTCGACGATCCAGTGCGTGGCAGGAAACGCAAGCCCACTCGTTCTCATTTTACGCACTCAACGACACAATCATGTCGCGATCGAATAACGACACGATCTCACAGAACTTGTTCCGCATCTATCACGATGTATTAGAACAGAGTCTTTCTTGCTGGATAGCCGAAGAAACATGTCCATACACGGATAAGCGCAGCATGCGAGTGACGCAGGGCCGATCCCCCCGATGGATGGCGGAAGAGCAGGGCACTACCTGGTCCAACAGAATATACTCCCGTGTTATCCGGTTCGACCGATATGCTCGCTCGGTAGGTTTGATTCGGCTAACTGCGAGGGAGAACCAAGCGGCTACCAAGTCATTACACCTCGCCATCATGGCCTTTACCAGTCAATGGGCTCAGGGCAGTCGTCGTGAACGGGAGCAATACGCGCCAGCGTCGGAGGGGCTAAATGCGGATGACTTGGTGCAAGAGTTTGATCGCAACATCCAAATTTCGTTATGGGAGCAGGCGAAGGAGGCGCTGAAAAACACGTCTGGCATAGAGTGCTTCAGGGTTGCCTGTGCCGAGCTTATTTTCGGACTTTGCCAAAAACCATGGGATTTCGAAGATATCGAGCCCATGGACCGTTTCGAAACTCGGCCGCGAGATGTCCGTGGGGCCAATAACGACACTACCTCCCTGGCGGCAAGACTTGACGCTGTCATAGCCAAAGATGGTACCCCTACTCACATGGAGAACGCGGCTCGCAAGGCACATGCAATAAAGTTCCGCTGGGATGCTCAACGACGAGGCTTAACAACTGGTGGTCAAGTGAGCGAAGAGAGCAGACAGACAGCAGATTCACTAAGTACGGATGAACAGCAGCATGAAAAGACCGTGGGTCTAGTATATTGGCTTGCTGTTATGTTCGATACCGTCTCTTCGTCAACGCACGAGAGACCGGTTGTTGTGGCGGATGAGGACTCTCAGCACTGTAACGCATCTGCTTCTACCGACACGTCAACCGATAACACCTCACCGAGATCCAGCGAGAGCGGCCTATCCATTCGACGATGGTCGACGCCGCTTTTCATCCAGGACGATCCCGAGAGGCCAATGTATATGCCACACTGGCCATGCTCTTACGAAGCCGCTGCCGAGGCCGTAACCCGATCTTGCTCAGTTAAGGTCTTACTCCACCGGCACGTTTCATGGTTGCAGAACGCGATTCGAAGGGGGGACTGCCCCGAATCCATAGAGGGCATTATCCAGGGTACCGTGTTGCTCTACCGATACTGGAACACGACGTACGGGCCGTTCTTTAAGGACCTCGTCCGAGATTTCCCCTCTGTACCGCCCCGAATCCAGAGCTGGTCATTTTGCTTATCGTCGCACTGGCATTTGGCAGCCTTCATCTTTGCTGACCTACTTGACTTTGTTGACAAGAACCAGTTGGGTAGTACAGAAGCCAGCCAAACCCGTATACAGATTAGTGTGGCGGAGAGAATCCGGAAAGCTAGCGCCAATGAGATATCCGACCTAGCCAAAGTTTCCGTGCCATCGGAGGCAACCGACTCGACGCACTGCAACACCACCACACCTCAGTCCCAGTCCCAGCCCCAGTCCATGCCGCCACCCGACTTCCATTTTGCCGTCAACAAGTGCACGATTCTCACCGAGCCATGGACCATGCTCATTATTAGAGGCTTCACGAAAGCAGGAGCTATTCATATTGCACGAGCACAAGACTTGTGGCAGGCGAGGGTGACAGATCCGGGATATGAAAGTGAGGCGTGTGAAGAGAGTTTGAAGCGATGTATGGATTGCATTAAGGCGCTTTGGTTCTTAGGGAAGAAGTCCGATATGGCGAGGAGTACTGCAGGCCTTTTATCCCAGGCGCTCGGTAATATACGCCGAGAGAATTAGTTCGTTTAAAGGAGAGACTAGTACGAAGTATTACCACGGCAGTTAGGCGTACCTACAGCTAAAAGGATATAAACTACTTTCGAAGAGACTCTCTATGTAAATATCTCGGCGGTGGAAAACCGTAGAGTAAAGCTAAGGTTGATAAGTAGTTAATTATTCAAGAGAATGGTCCCCTGAGGCCCGTTATCGTAGGATGCACAAGCCTCCCCAAATGCCCTGAAAAGGTATTCTAAAAGCACTCTGCAAACCCCTAAAGCGCCCTGCAAAGCACCCCCCATAGGCAAGTAAGAAAAGAGCTAATAGACACATTTTCAGAGCCTAGGACATCAATTGTCAGCGTTACACAGTCTTCCACCATCTTACTTGTCGCGCCCACTACTATGATCGCAAACTTGAAGGCGCGCTACTCGTCCAAGGTAGACTTTGCCATGCAGAAGCGAAAGACTAAAGTAACGGTCGACCTACCATGGGCGTTCTCACCTGGACTGATAGCAGTGGATGAGTGGCATATGACGAAGGGCCTCCACACCTAAGTCGTGCTGCTAATCTCCTACATGAGAGCTCACCGATTAAACTCCCAAGCCCTTATCTTCTCCGGCAGAACGCCTATTGCTGTGGCGCCCTATGATCTCCTGTCCGCGACGACTATGTCAACAATCGGAAACGAGGTTGTAGGCGCTGCCTGCGAGGCTAATCTACGGGCACTCCAACAAACCTTTAACGCCACCTGCCGCACTGGTACTCCCAGTACATCTAACAGCGTCGAGTTTCAATCCCAGTTCGCCCGCTTTCTCAAGAGCTTCAGCATCCCCCGTAGGTCCACAGGGACTTTCCTGGGCCAGAATTTATTCGACAAACCTCACCATATACCCCACAGGGTGTCCCTCTCCCCCAACTCTAACCTTGGCGACTGGTGTTAGGTCCATGGGTCTCATCGCCGCCCTCGTAAGTCAAAGCGAGCACCTAGATCGCCCAATAGGGTCCGCTCCCCACCAACGGGCTTGATAAGGAGGACTGTCGGCAATCTCATGACTGTCCAGATAGACATCTCCATTTCTTGCTTTCTTTGCTTTAGGGCCCTGGCCTTGCAGGAACCATTACAATACAAGAACTGTGACAGCCCCCTGATAATTGCCCAGGCCACCAGGCAGGTGGTTATCTTGATATCTCCTGGCCTGGATACGCCTCCTTAGGTAACCACTTCGGTCTTCCTTCTTGTCGTGTCCTCTTGTTCCGCTCTGATGTCGTGCTCCGCCACGCCGGCCTCCTCTAGCTCGAGAGCATGGGTGCGGCTGCCTCTCTATGTACTTCTCCGGATCTGAACCTTAGAAGACGTCTCTCCCGAGAGAAGCGCTACTGCTTCACGCTTCACAACTAAGGAGAGCAACGTCGCCGTGTTTACAATGCCTTATGCTATGTGTATTCCAGTGGGAAATGGAATTAGAGTTGAAACTAGCGTGTCGGTCACTGCGAAAACTTTGCAACGCAAGGTATCTCACGAACTGGGATTACGAATTCGACAGCTTTTAAAACAAGTCGATCCGCGACTCGGCGCCGACAGAGTTCTATCGCGGCTACACGGACTTCCTGTGTCAATAGTTCTCGTAGTTTCATGCGCAAACACGACGGAAACCCACTTAATGGCTATTCCTAAGTTTGATTTACAATTGACCGGAAACGTTGTTAGCCCGCCGCCGCGTGACCGGAGCGCAATGTAAGTGAAAGCTCACTTAGCCTCATTAAGCTACTCTGAGGCTCCTTTTATTGGCTCCTACGCCATAGAAAATGGCTCAAAGCACTTAGCCCGTGCTCTAGGGTCTATTCGTGGGCCAGCGAACGTTTCACTATTAGAGCGTCGTTTCCGCACATGTCAAGCCACTTCGAGATTTAACCTTAACCTTCCTGCCAGTAAAGGGCTAGAAGGACTAGAAGGCGTGGGAACGAATTGCTGGGACAGAGCCTTCTAGGCCGAAGCGTTTGCATAAAGACTGCTTCACGACAGTTTAATTCTAAACAGGACCGAGAAAGGAGAACACGAAAGAAGGGCTGGCCTGCCCGTGTTGTGTAGTTTTCGTGAGAATTCATTCTATCATGTATAAATTGGCGACTGTGGCTAGTCCTAGCTTCCATGATGCAACGTCCGCTTCCCTCCTCTATTGTTGAACCAACCCTGCGTTCGGATGTGACACAATAAAGCTAGCTTACTGTAATCGTATTTCTGGTCAGTTTCGTGTGCCCGGTAGCACCTCCCGGACGTAACCACGATGTTCCGAGGTGTACAATAGTCCACCTGGACTGGCGGCGGCGGAATTTAAGCGGCAATTGTTCGGCAGCAGGTGGCCAATTGGATCCCTTTGGCAAGGGGGTGGACGTTCCCTGCGCATCTTCAGTTCCGGAATTCTACGAAGTGGGCGAGCTGAGTGGAAAGCAAGGCACGGTGGCCAGGGATATGGCCCTAGTAAGGTAGGTCTTAATATCAATCCAGTGTTGCCTGGAGAAAGGTGACGAGGTGTGTCGCTGACTAGACGGGGGAATAGCTTTCTGGATCTTTGTAGCTGGGCTCGATAAACCCTAGCAATGCGGCCCATATTCTAATCAATCATGACTACATAGGAGAGCGTATTGCAGGTGCAAGCTTTGAAGCCCCCGTGTGAGGGAAGGGACTTCGGAGGCCAGTAGTTCGAGAGAATCTCGGCATTACTCTCGTCGGGTGGTGCAAGAACATGGGGGCAGAAAAGGAGACGGGTCTGAGTGTCGACCTGCATCGACAGCGAGCCCCACAAGTGCTACCGTCGATCTGCAGCTTGCAACCTGCTACCCCGGAATTTAGCCTTGTCGCCTCCGCGCTCCATTGCCCAAAAGAGGTTCTTTTCTTCCTCACTCTCAATTAAGCCATCTGGATGCTGGCTCCCTATCCCCGGGGGCTCACGGCCATGCTTCATACGGGATAGCGCATAATAAACTCTTCCCTTAGACTGGAGAACAGGTTGCTGCGACTCCCTCTGTTGGGTCCCGCTCCTCAGGTGATATGATCCCCCGACGAAAGTCGAAGGAATCGCTTCCTGCGCTGCGTGCGGATAGCTAGGGCCAAGGGCACGGACCCCTTCTTGCCCTCACTCCTGAGAGAGCCATGACATGTCAAGTGGCGTTTCCCCTTATTTTCGCACTTGCAGGCACTTGCTCCAGCAGCGTTGATCGGGCGTTGTCGTACATAAACTACAATCCACAGTTGCGCATTTCCATCCACAACACCCTGGCGGTCTATCCTCTACGTAGAGTCTTGATTGGCTCACTCGGTTCAATTGTCAGGGCTGACGAGCAAGTCGAAGACATTGGTGCTAACTGCCTGTTAGTGCATTGGCCTGGCCCACTCACACACTTCGAATACCCCAGCTGCTCGAGTCCAGGGGGCGAATCAGGACGAAGACCTTCAGGCCTGGCCTTACCCAGAACGTAACCTTCTCTAGGAAATCAGCCGATGGCGCTCTTAAAAGAGGAAAATGCATGAGACTTCACACATCGTTAATCGCCCCTCTTTTAAACTAGTCTCTAGTGTTCGATTTTTTTTTTTCTCTTAATCACGATGTGGAATATTCAGAATGATCGACGATGGATGATTGCCAACAGGGGATAAGCTAGAAAATATGGAAGATGCAAGAAGATCTCTTGGCAGGAGCAGGACTTGACGACACTGATCATTGATGCCATCGATGCATTTTACGTTCACCCGTATCCCCTACACTCCACTACCTCGTACTTCATTGTGAGGAATCCCCATGAGTGAACCCTACTCCACGCTCCTCTAGATGTACCTTTGTCAAAACGGACAGACTCGACAATACTGAGGTGGTATTCAAGCGGATTAACATATCAAAGTTTAATCGGCCAGTCCTTGCCCTTAGTGGCTCACATCAGTGTCCGAATGGTCCAACGAATGCTGCTGAACAAACTCTCCTCCACACCTCCGAGCAAGACTCGATCTCCTGACATGGGCCAAAAAATTTTAAACAAATTAAGATGGACGAGCCTAACTCGGTTTTGTGAAGCATGGAAAATCCTAACCGTTGTTGGTAACAAGTAGGTCGACTTAAAGCATATCCGTTCCTGACAACAGTTCGATGCCCCTGTCCATGTGGCGTAACGTTTCCCCGCGTTCTCGATCCAAATATCCACTGATGCCGGAGGAGCAGGAAAACCGCCCCAGTGGCTTGATCTAATTTACAAGGTGTCGACATGCGATGTCCCTTTTCGATCTACATATTTCTTCTCTTACATGCCCATTTTTTCCCTCTCTTCTTTTTTTTTTTTTTTTTTTTTTTTTTTTTTTTCCCCCGTTGTTGGACCTGATAAGAAGAGCAGATCCAGTGAGCCCCTGCATCCTCCAATCTTTTCCCCCTCGGTTCCAGCGGCTTGCTGCCTCGTGATGCTGGACAACAGACGACGGAGATCCCCCCCACCATGAGATTACGACACGTACTTGCCCCAGCGGCGGCCCTGCTGCTCAGTTGCGTCCCAGTAACGCTCTGCCAGGGCCTCTCGTCTGCCCTCGGCTCCCTTCCCGACTGTGCGGTATGGAGACACATACCCTTTGCCCTCTTTGTGTCTCTCTTCTAACCCACCCTTGTCTACAGATCGATTGTCTCAAGACCTCCATCGCCAATTCGCCTTGCACCATCGATGATACGCCGTGCCTATGCACCAACTCCGATCTTCAGGATGCCATCACAAACTGTGTGCTCTCCTCGTGCACGGTGAAGGGGTCCCTCCGTAAGCGTGGACTTCCCTCTCCTTTTTTTTTTTTTTTTTTTTTTTTTTTTTTTCCCTTGCCTCCATCACCGATGCAATATCGCTAATGATCGATGCATATACGTAAGATGCGAAAAATGTCACCCAAACCATTTGCAATGCGCCCGTACGGGATACATCACGGGCTATCAAGGACCTCACTACCATTCTCAGCACAATCGCTGGAGTCCTGGTCGCCGGGCGAATCATATTCAAACACTTCGTGGCGAAGATGGGGCTGTCTCTAGACGACTGGTTCATCGTCCTCACTGCTATTGTTGGCGCACCGAATAGAGCCATTGTCGTCCATGGCACTGGAGCGAATGGCGTCGGGCGGGACATCTGGACCCTGCCATTCGACATGATAACGCGATTCGGCAAGTTCTTTTACATCATGGAGATCTTGTACTTTGCAGAGCTCGCTCTACTGAAAGTGTCGATCCTGTTCTTCTACCTCCGTATCTTTCCGGACACGCGCATTCGACAAGTCCTCTGGGTGACACAGACCCTAAATGTGCTGGTTGGGGTAGCCTTCGTTATCGCCGCTATTTTCCCTTGCACCCCGATCAGCTACTTCTGGACGAAATGGGATGGCGAGGGGCAGGGCAAATGCATCAATATCAATGCTCTGGCGTGGGCTAATGCGATCATCAGCATTGTGCTGGATATATGGATGCTCGCCATCCCGCTAAGCCAACTACCTAAAATTAAACTGCATTGGAAGAGGAAGGTTGGCATCGCCTTAATGTTCTTCGTCGGCACCTTGTAAGCCAATCGTTCCCAAGCACGAATGAATGCTGCGCACCCCTGCCCCCCCACTACTATTCTAACTCTAGATCTCTTCACTTTCAGTGTCACCATCGTCAGTATCCTCCGTCTGCATTCGTGCGTAACATACGCGAACTCTCGCAATCCGACCTGGGATAATGCGCCTATTACTAAATGGTCCGTCATCGAGATTAACATAGGGATCATGTGCGCCTGCATGCCGACTCTCCGCCTTGCCCTAGCTCGTGTCTTTACAATCTTCCAAGAGTCGACTGTCCGCACCGGTTACGGGGCTGGATACGGAGCCGGATACCAAAACCAAGCCAGCAAGGTAACGACTAGCCATGCCGTGGCCACGTTCAATGGACAGTCACCTAAAGGAACACAGCCACCCGACCGTGCGATTTTGTGTAAGAAGACTTTTGATATACAATACAGCGATGAGTCGAGTTTGGTTCAGATGCGAGATTTGTCGGTGAGGCCGACAACGAGCGATGCGTCGTCAGGGATAGACCCCTAAGATGTGTTGGGTGTTGGGCGTTTGGATGATGGTGGCGGATGGTTGGTAAGATTATTATTAGGTGGACTTAACGTACGCTGAAGAAACATATGGATGTTGGATGGTGACTCATACTCTAATGTTAGATCAGCCCTACATTAAATAGATCATGGTTATGACTATCCTGGCGCAATAGCGGTCGTACTACTAGTTGGTGTTACACACCAACCATGTCCACGAAGAGTTGACCCTGGTGGTTTCGAAATCGTCATTCCGCACCGAACTCGAAGGTCATGAATCGTACGTAGTGTTTGAAATGTCACTCAAGGCGTAGGCTATATCCAATCTAGACAGGAATCACTGTCATCCATCAGCGAAGAACACACAGGGCTCAACCACATGTACCCCAGGCTAAGTGCAAATGTACGTCAACATAATTATCGGGTTTTATCTACAAAGCGCTCGCTTCCCTTTCACCATTGTGCATTCGGGGTTGGATACTTAGGAAATATTGCTTGTAACCACAGTGTAGGTCTTGAGCTGCTCCAAGGCCTCGACACACTTCTTCTTGATGACCTCGGCGTGTTTCTCCGATCGAGGAATTATGTTATAGGAGAATGGTAGCAGTACAGAGTTGAATCCATCAATCAAATTTCTGACCCTAATACAACGCAACAATGAAGGAAGTCGGCTGGTTTACGAAACCTTTCCTCACCTCTTTCCTGCTAGGAATCGGAGTCTTTCTCTACGGATACTATGCGCTTGCTTTCATCTATCTCCTTCCCTCCGACTTCCTGAAACACGCGGCTAACCTAACATACACCTCTGTAGCGACCCTGGTATCATCACGTCCAGTTTGGCTCTCAAGTCTTTCCTAAGCCACTTCGGCAATCCCGATACCCCGCTGAAAGGAGCCATTGTCTCGGTCTATCAGGCAGGAAGTATAAATCTATTCGTGAGGGTCAATAACTTTGGTGCTGACTGTAAAGTTCAGCATGGCTGCGTAGTGCTTCGGTTGGCTATACTAGCGATACCTTCGGTCGTCGCAAGGCGATTGCATTCGGATGCATATTTGGAGTAATCAGTGGCGCGTTGATGGCGGGCGCTGCCCTGCGTAAGCGACTAATTTCCAAGGCAAGATGCGGCATAAAATGCATTCTAACTAGAGCTTTTATACTAGTTATTTTGGTCGTCTCTTGATCGGATACGCCGTTGACTATCACCAGTGTCGCTCCTGTTTTTGTCGCTGAGACATTTTTTTAATACTTAGCGCCTTCCCCCTTCCGCTCCTCGCCGCTCTTGCCGGTTTTGCCATCCGCAGCTCACATCATAGAGCCAAGTTGTGAGGCAACTTGGCCATTTGGCTTTCTTGAACACGAAATACAAGATACACCACTAGCTACCGCTCATCACACGCAGCTACGCGCTGGCATCGACTTTTAAGCATGTGATATTTCCTATTCCTCCGGGTGGGCTTTGCTCAATCCGAGTACTTGAGCTCCCTTCCCTCCGCAGACAGTGCACTCTAACAAGATACGTTTGTGTAGAATATCTACAGCAATACTTTCTCCCTTCAACCGGCTTTTACGATCCATTTCAGGCATATAGTCTGGGTATGACATATTGCCCCGGAGGGAAGGGAGGAGTGGTAAGGATCGTGGAGCCGCAACGTGTGGCTTTCTTGTTGTATGCTGGGCCCGTGATAGTCGATAGGTTGGTGATCTGGCTGCCCGACAATAGTAGCATCCCGTGGACCCTCAATAAAAGGCCTCTGTTGAGTCTAGCATCACAGGTGTCGGCAGGGTCGGTCGTAAAGTAGCCAGGAAGCCGGTATATGTAAAGGGAGAAGTTGTTGGCTGGAGTCGACCGGAGATTGGCGCCTCTTTATACTTCGAACAGCCGAATGTGCACGGCCCTAGCACAAGACCAGGCAACAGCAGTTGGGCTGGCGGCGCCGTTATCCGCATCGCGGGATCTCGAGCCTGCGCCTTCTACTGTCGGTCACAAACGTTTGGGAGGCCTCCCCGCAAAGTGCCGATACCAGCTGTGGCCTTATACTCCTATGGGCCGCCCTGCCCAAGTCCTCTGGAACCAGCAAGTATGTATATCAGGGGTATCACTGAAACGGAGCAGTGCAGCCTGCCCGGTCACCACAGAAATGAAACAAAAGAAACAGACTGTCAAATGGTCTAAATGGTTCCCGCAAGAAGCTGCTGCAGTTCTCCTTGCAGAAATGGTAATGGGACGTCGAAATAGTTGATGAATGGAAATAGAGCCAGATCATGAAGAAAGGAGACTTCCAAATAGGGGGAAGTCAAGAAACATGTAAGTGTCAAATAGAGGACACTTGGGCATACAAAACAATAGAAGACCTGTCTAGAGTCACCACACAGGATGATCCATGAGAAATTAGTAAAAGGAAGTCAATTAAAAGAAAGACTGACAACTGATCACTTGAGGAACTTTAAGGAAGTTGTTATTATTCCTCTTAAGAGAGGAAAGAAAAGAAAAGAAAAGAAAAGAAATAACAATGCCCCTGGCCCATGGTAAGGAACAATATTTCTCCGCCTCAATTCTTGCGGTCCCATGAGAGAACTGCACCATTTCCACCGCTGTCACCTTCTTCCCCATTACACTATCCTATTAGCAGATCCAGAGTCGCACAGTCATATCCCGGGATGCTAATGCGAGGACTTTCGAGTCAGGTGAGAAGGCAACTGAATTGATATGGCCCCTGTGGCTGTTGAGTGTCTGTTGTAGCCGTCCTGTTACTAGGTTCCAGAGTTGTACTGCCTTATCTTCCGATGCTAATGCAAGGAATTTCGAGTCAGGTGAGAAGGTAATTGAATAGACATAGTCGCTGTTGAGTGTCTGTTGTAGCTGTCCTGTTGCTGGATCCCAGAGTTGTACTATCTTATTTACTGATACTGATATGAGGACTTTCGAGTTGGGTGAGAAGGCAACCGAATTGATATGGTTACTGTGGCTGTTGAGTGTCTGTCGTAGCTGTCCTGTTACTGGATCCCAGAGTCGCACCGTCTTATCCATCGATGCTGATACTATGACTTTCGAGTTGGGTGAAAAGGCAACCCAAAAGACATAAGCGCTGTGGCCGTGGAGTGTCCGTCGCCGCCGTCCTGTTGCCAGATCCCAGAGTGGTACTGTTGTATCCTCCGATGCAGCTAATGCGAGGACTTTCGAGTCTGGTGAGAAGGCAACCGACCAGACATAGTTGCTGCTGAGCGTCTGTTGTAACTGTCCTGTTTGCTGGATCCCAGAGTCGTACCGTCTTATCCAACGATGCTGATACGAGGACTTTCGAGTCGGGTGAGAAGGCAACCAAATAGACAACGTTGCTGTGGCCGTTGAGCGTCTGTTGTAGTTGCCATATGGTAATGGCACTGTTCTCCATGAGCATCTGTATATTAGACTCGTGTCCGCCTAATCTAGCATGCCAGAATGCTGTGCGAGAGTCTTTATCAGTGGCATTAACATCAGCACCCTTCTCTAGGAGCAATCTTACCATATCGATATACCCCCTGCTTGAGGCTGCAATTAATGGCGTCCATCCGTCCTTATTTGTGACAGCAATGTTGGCACCCCTGCTAATAAGTAGTTCAACCATTTCAACATCGTCCTTCTCAACAGCCCATAGAAGCAGCTTCCCACTGTCCATCCTTTGTAACTTGTAATCGTCTTCATCCCTATTTGCAGGCCAGAGTTTGTCCCACCGCTTCCAAGCTTGCGACCAGCGTTTAGACATATCCTCCTGTTTTTCTTAGAGCTCTACTTGCCTTTCACCAAGACGACGTAATTCTTCAGACTCATTACTCTCCTCCATAAGTAAAGCACTCCTCTCTTCTTCAAGTTTCCTCAGTTCATTCTCTACACTCTTCAAGTCGATTTTCAACTTCTTTAGCCGCTGACTTCTGCCATCCACTCCCAGGTTCAACCTCTCCTCTTCAGCATCATTTTGCTTCTTTTCTTCCAGTATCCCCACGAGCTCCAGCATTAGATCTGGCTTTTGCAACTCTGTGGTTATATCGATAGTAACATCTGGCGGACGGGGCAGTGCTTCTGGCTCAACGGAAAAAATCGGCTGGTGTAGATCGGGCCTTAATGCTATACTCAGGTGTAGTAGTCCATTGCTAGCGCTATTTGCCCCTGATGATTTTTGCGCTACGTATTCAAGATTTTCGGCCAGCTCCAGAAGTGTCGTGTCTCTGCAGCATATCATAATGTAGCACTGAGCCTTTATGGGAATGCCTTGCTGCTTGAACTCAAGCATTATCACAAAATCTTGGGAATCTTCCTCGCTATAGCGGAATCGAGCTAGTATCTGAGAAATAGCACCACTAGATGATGGGGCTGTCGATATAATCACAGCCCGCTCTCGGTCCCAGTTGGCCTGAGGTGCTACATCAACCAAATCTAGGCCAAGGTCGGCAAATTCCTCAGTATCGTAGAACCAGTATTGTTGATTCGCATCCACAGCCTTCTCGCTTTGGCTGTCAATCTTGATGTAGGTAAGACTGGGCGAAATATCACGCCCAGTCATCGGCTGCAGCACTGCATGACATCCCTTTGGTCTGAAATACTCCTCTGACCCTGATGCCACTTTGATAAGAGGAATCCCAACTACCTGCTGTATATCGTTCAGGGGCCCACAATTCAGCAGCCCGAGTGTTTCGCCAGCAGGAGTAGTAAGCAATGATAAGTGAAGTCGAAGACTGCCACTAAGGATATCGACCGAGTTAAACAGCGTGGTGGATTGTTCGCGGGAGACAATCTGCCAGGAATTTGCGAAATCTGATGGGGAGGCCGCCAGAATTCTCCCAGGTATGGCTTGGCCGGGGTTACTGATGGGTGATTGGATACTATAGCCCCACGCCAGGATGGAATGGTCTCTCGTTTTCTTCATAACCTGTTCCTGCAGCCGGAAGAAAGCCTGGTCACTACCCTCGCCATATACCATCGGCATAGTCACCCCGAATATTCCCAAAAGACAGTATGCGAGGTCT